GACCATTGAACTTGGGGCTTGGGCCTTCAACTATCAGCCTGGGATTTGAAATGGGGACCTGGAATTTGAACTTGAGCTTGGGGGTTGAACTAAGGCTTGAGGCTGGTACTCACAAGCTGGCCTTGAATTCACAACCTGGGACTTGAACTGGGGGCCTGGACCTTGTACTCAGTGTTGGGCCTTGAACTCACCGTGTTCAATTTTGAAATGCTGGGCCTTGAACTTACAAACTGGGATATTAACTGGTCCCTGGACCTCGTCCTTAGTGTCCAGGCCTTGAACTCACAGTGTGTAAGTTGAACATGGAGCTGGGAATATTAAAAAACCTGGGACATGAACTTGGCCTGGGCTTTGAACTCAGGATCTGGGACTTGACCTCATAGTCCAGGCTTAAACTCAGAGCCTGTAACTGGAATTCACAGCCTGGGGCTTGAATTCATGGGGTGGTATGTGAAATGTTGCCCTGGACCTTGAACTCTGTGCATGGTGTTTGAATTCATAGCCTGGGCTTTGAATTCACAACCCAGGTCCTGAACTGGGTGGCTGGGCCATGAACTTAGAGCATGGAACTAGAACTCATATTAGGGGCTAAAACTCTTGGTCAGGGCCTTGAACTCACAATCTAGGCCTTGCATTCACACCCTGGACCATGAATTCACAGTCTGTGCCTTAAACTCCTGGCCTGGGTCTTAAACTCACAGCCTGAGCTTTGATCATATTTCTTGGTTCTTGATCTCGGTCCCTGGACCTTGAACTCAACAAGAAGTGGGTACTGAGATTTCATTTTAGGGCCTAGGCTTTGAACCTTAGTCCCATTGTCTGCACCTTGAACTGAAAGCCTGGGATTTGAACTCTGGGCATAGGCCTTGAATTCAATGCCTTGCACTTGAATTTGTAACAGGGATAATGAACTGTGCCTCAGACTTGAATTGGGACCTGGAACTTGAACTCCTAGCCTGAGCCTGAAACTGTGGGCCTAGGTCTTGAACTCACAGAGTAGTCCTTGAAATCACAGCTTGGTTCTTGATTCCAAAATGTTGAACTACAGGAGGAACGGGGGATCTAGGACTCAACATGGGGCCTAGGACTTACTCTTACAGCCTGGGCCTTAAAATTTCATGTGGACTTTGAAATCCATGCCTGGGAATTGCATTGTAACCTGAACCATAAACTTGCAGCTTGGGCCTTAAACTTTCATCTTTACATTGGAACTGGGTCATAGGTCTTGAACTCAGGGCCTGGGACTTGAATTTGCAACCTCTATCTTGAAGTCCTGGCCTGGACTTTGAACTGTTAAACTGAGATTTGAATTTGAGGCCTCAAACTTGACCTCTAAGTATAGGACTTCAATTCAGGGCTTGGGCCTTTAACTCAGTGCCTAGGAGTTGAACTGTTGGTCTGGGCATTGAATTATCAGCCTGAGACTTTAATTCTGGGATTAAACTCAGGAATTGGGCCTGGAACTCATGGCCTGGGTTTTAAACAGTGGGCCATGGACATTCAACTCAAGGGCTGGCCATTGAACTCAGGGCCTGCAACTTAAATACTTAGCCTGGATTTTTTACTCATGGTCTGGTACTTGAAATTTTGGCCTGAGATTTGAACACCTGGCCTAGATTTTGGCATGGGATCTAAACTCTCTGCACCTTGATCTCATTGCTGGGGTATTTAACTCTATGCTTATGACATGACCTTAAAGATTGAGCCTTGAACTCAGAGCCTGTGACTTGAATTCATGGCTTGAGCCTTGAACTCAGCACTCAGGCTTTCAGCTGTGTTCCTGGGACTTGAAATCATAATCTGGTCCTAACAAGATGGACTTGGATATTGAATTCCTAGACTGGGCCTAAACCACACAACCTGGGCCTTGAATTCATGGACTGGTACTTGAACTGGGGCCCTGGATCTTGAACTCAGCCGCAAAGGGGGCAGTAGGACTTCAAATTGGGGATGGAGCCTTTAGCTGATGAGCTAGGCCTTAAACTCACGGTCCCTGGTATCAAATTCTGGGCCTGGAACTCAAAGTTTGGGATTTAAACTCAGGGCCTGGATATTAACCTTGTGTCCTGAGATATGAACTTGGGGCTTGGACCTTGAACTCAAAGCCTAGAACTTAAATTCAGAGACTGAGCCATGAACTCTCAGCCTGGCATTTTTACTGGGGCCCTGGACCTAGAATTCAGGGCCTGTGATTTAAACTCAGGGCTTGGAGTTTGATATCAAAACCCAGGCCTTGAACTACTTTTTAGACTTTGAACTGTTTGCCTGCGACTTGAACTTATAGCTGGGCCTGAAACTCTGGGCCTGGGCCTTAAGTCACAGCCTAGGCCTTGAACTCCTAGCCTGGGGCATGAACTGGTAGTTTAACAGGGGCCTGGGACCTTGTAAAAAGAGACTGAGGATTAAAATCATAGTCTGGGCCTTGATCTCAGGGCCCGCAACTTGATGTACAGACCTGGCATTTTTACTCTGGACTCCTTGGATCCTTTGGCAGACCTGCTCAGGCATTAGTGTCATCTATACTGTGTGCTTCTGGCACTGTGCATGTTTATCTTGTGATCCTTTGTTCTGTCAGTGCTGTTCATCCAGCTACTGCACTTGCAGTGTTGAGGCCTCCTAGTACAGTGTATGTGTACCCTGAAATTCTTCGGTTTGTTAGAACCTGTGAACCTGCTGACATGTAAGATGTTCTGGATGCACATGCATGCTGTTTAATTATGTGCTCTTTTGCTATGACACACTATTGTCTGTCAAAATCTAAAGAAAATAAATAGGATAAATGAATAACAAACTTTCTTTTCTCCAAACCCATAAAATATTTCCTCACTACAAAGTAAGTTTTACACATTAGGCTCTCAATATAAATCAATAAAATCAAGGATTTTTCTCACCTTCATTTAGGGAATGAAGTCCCTCAAAATGGAGTACTAGAGAGCATTATCCGTGAGGAAAATCATAATTACTCATAGACTTCCAGTAGGCATGAGTGCTGGCAACAAACAATCAAAAGATGTCATCAACACAGTATGTATATCAGAGAAAAGAAGCCTGATAGAGGTCATTTAAGAACCTGTAGGAGGCTGACATATGAAGAGCAGGTTTCATGACAACCCATTGAGAGCCTCTAGGAGGTCCTCATCACTCATTCATCACCTTAGAATTCACAGTGGAATTGTTGCTCAATTGGTAGATCATTAGCCTTGATTTGAAAAGTTCCAGAGTTCAAGTCTAATGACCACCACCAACAACAAGCAGAGAAAGAAATGTAAAGCAATATTAATCAATAATGTCACATATTCACGGTATTAACAAAATCTGAGTATTACCAAAATCTGAATTATTTTCCCCAAAAAAGGCCATTTCATTTTTATTCATTCTCTATTTGGACCATCTTGCATTTTCTCTTTGAAACTCAGAGTAATGTTTGATGTGGTAGTGATATTTCCCTAAATATCTCAGTAGCTAGAAAACTGAATATTACCCCATGGTAATATGAGTCCTGTTTCCTTATGCTTATATATCTAAAGGAATCATAAATTTTTGTGGCTTCTCAAAAGTGGATGACACTAGAGAACCTGAGAATTCATGAGAAAATCTGTGGCAGTATAGGAGACCATGTTACTGGCTGATTTGTCTCAAAGTTTTGATCAATCCTATATTTGTCATTATATACATGTGAGCAGATTTGTGTGCCTAATCAGATATTTTTGTTGCCTATCCATTTGTAGATGCAAATCTTTGTGTGTGTGTGTGTGTGTGTGTGTGTGTGTGTGTGTGTGTGTACAAACTGGAATGCCAGAGAAGCGGCTGCAACACTAAGCGGAGGAGGCAGGAACCTGAGACCGAGAGGAAGCTGGGTGGGACCATGGCAGGGATCACCACCATCTAAGCAGTGAAGCGCAGGATTCAAGTTCTGCAGCAGCAGGCCGATGATGGTGAGGAGAGGGCCGAGCGCCTTCAGCAGGAAGTGGAGGGAGAAAGGCAGGCCCAGGAACAGGCTGAGGCTGAGGTGGCCTCCTTGAACTGCAGGATCCAGCTGGATCCTGACTGAGCTCAGGAGCGCTTAGCCACTGCCCTGCAAAAGCCGGAGAAAGCAGAAAAAGCTGCTGATGAGAGTGAGAGAGGTATGAAAGTTATTGAAAACCGGGCATTAAAAGATGAAGAAAAAATGGAACTCCAGGAAATCCAACTCAAAGAAGCTAAGCACATTGCAGAAGAGGCAGATAGGAAGTAGGAAGAGGTGACTCGTAAATTGGTGATTATTGAAGGAGATTTGGAACGCACAGAGGAAGGAGCTGAGCTGGCTGAGTCCCGTTGCCGAGAGATGGATGAGCAGATCAGACTGATGGACCAGAACTTGAAGTGTCTGAGTGCTGCTGAAGAAAAGTACTCTCAAAAGGAAGACAAATATGAGGAAGAGATCAAGATTCTTAATGATAAACTCAAGGAGTCAGAAACCTGTGCTGAGTTTGATGAGAGATCAGTAGACAAACTGGAAAAGACAAATGATGATTTGGAAGATAAACTGAAATGTACCAAAGAGGATCACCTCTGTACACAAAGGATGCTGGACCAGACTCTTGCTTGACCTGAATGAGATGTAGAGTTCCCCAGTCCCACCTGCCACTGCACCTACCTCTGACCCTGACTCCGCCTGAGGCCAGCCTATCGGGAGCTGACCTTGAAAATGAGGGCTGATCTTAACTGGAAAGGCTGCTTTCTCCTTTTGCCACCCTTTCTACCCTTTATCCTTCATGTCTTTTTTCACCGAACTGTCTCAGCCTCTTCCCAGAGATTCTAGCTAGGCTAGAGGCTGTGCACTTTTGGGAACAACATTTAAGGGATGTGAGCACAATGCGAAATGTCTTTAAAAGCACGTTGGGATGTACACATGTTGTAATTAATTTTTTGTGTTGTCCTAGCAGTCATTTGTAAAACATTCCAAATAATTCCACAACTCTGAAGCAGCAGTCGAATCCTTTCTCCCTTTGGAAGGTTAACTTTTCAGCCTAATGAGTACTGCCCTCCAGAGGAGGGAAACAGATATGGGCCTGCCTTGTTGAGAGCCCAGGGAAAGATTCCACCATGGAAAACCTCATTGCTCTGTACAAAGTACCAGCCAAACCAGCCATGGAAAACCCCATTGCTCTGTACAAAGTACCAGCCAAACCAGATAGGTGATTCTAGGAGTTAGCCACAAAATGAAAACAATTATGCTGTTCAGGTTTTTAGCTTTAAGGTATCTTTGGACAAGCTTATTCTTATTTACCTTTTTCATCAGAAGTGACTAAATTAAGATACCGAGACCTCTGAGAACCTCCGTCACCTCTTTTTTCCCTTATTGCAATGATGGGGATCAATTTAGGCAAGTGCTCTGCCATTGAGCCACATCTCTAGCCCTGAGACCAAATTTTTGTCTCATCTCTTTATCCTTCCTAACTCCTCACAAAATGGGTTATGTGTCCCTCAAGTGTTGAGATGACCACTTAACTGCTGTCTTGCCTCCTTCAACTAAATTAAGAAAATTAGGTTTTTGCCACTAATTTAGCCATATGAAACTCATCTCATCACCCTGTTCTGGGTCTGAAGCTGCTCTTTAAAAGTGTCATCTCATTGTGCTTTGTATCAGTGCTGGAAAAATCTTGTATAGCTTATGTATAAGACTTAAAAATTTTTATATTATTTTGAAACTTTGCTTTAGGGTTGGGGAGCCCTGGCCACCGTCTGGCTTTGAGAGTATTCTACAGTCTGAGGGCTGTCAGCATGCTGATCTTTTGGAGTGTCTTTTCCCATCCAGTTCCCTCTTTTAGATGAGGTCTCTGTGAGGTCTGTTAGGTGTACATCCTTCAGCTTATTGGCTTATAATGTACTCTCTTTGCGGTCTCCTTGGGGCCAGTTAGGAGAAAGAGAAAACAATAATGTAACTGTTTTGATACTGAATATTGACAAATGACTTTTTGAAATAAAGTACCAGTCCCTACAAAAATAATAAACAAACTGGAATGCCACAATTTTTCCCTTTTCAGTTTCAGCACCCATAAAATGAAGCAGGACAAATTACTATAATTTTTGGAATTTAAAACAGAGGAGATTTTGCATGTCTACATCTTGATTTTATTCAGTCATGATAAACATTAATCATAGTTTGTCCAGGATATTTTTTCTTATATTTCTTCCATGGTAATGAAGATAGAAACCATGATTGCACCATTGGTTTCAACCTCTTAACCTGGCCTTCATCACAGACAAGTGTTCCAAATGTTGGTGTATGTCTAGCATAGAATTCTCTAAGTCAAACATATTTGAGAAAATAATCTGAACAAAGTAATTCTAATGGCAATATTTTCAATATTCATAGCAAAGTCCAATACTTCCATGTTCATACTAGCAGGTGACATGCATATATTCCTTAAATATTAATTATTTTTCTGGTGTGATGAGCATATTTACCTGATAACACTTCACAATGAGATTGGCACTTTAAAAAGAAATTTGTCAATAAAAAAGGATGGAAAAATGTTTAATGTTTTAAGCAATCGCACATTGTTTTTAATTGTAACTGAAAGTATTTGCATGCTATCCCTTCATATTTTACTTGTCTAACATTAAGCATGTCTCACTGTTAGGATACATCTAATGGAATAATAACCCTTCATGCTTTGTATTTATGCATTCCTCACAAATGCTGAAATGGAGATCTAAAAGGCATTAAAGTTATTGGAAGTGCCATGAGTTCAAGCCAAATTACCTTTGCAAAAGCCTATCTGGTATGTATCAGAAGATGCCAGGTGCAAAAAGAGAATGTGGAAAAAAAGTCACTATGGCTAGTGGCTATTACACATCAGTTAGTTTCAGACAATTTGAAATAAGCATGTGAATTGTTTTCTTCTTTCAGATGTTATCAAGAAAAAGTCAACAAAATATGTGTAATACATTCTAGGCATGCACAGTTATAAGAACTAACTGCCACTTTATATCTTTTTGTTTGATTTACTATACAATAAGTACCTATATTGAGTCCTTCCCTCTGTCTTGCTCTTACTCGGCAGTAGTTTGACAAAACCACAGGAGGACTAGTGTTATATGAGAACATTATATCATTTTCCCTTCACAATCCTTAATTTCTGAGAACAATTTTACACGTACAAGTATATCATATTCCTCGATGTCATAGTCTAAGGCACAGGTTTTTACATACTGTTATACTTGTGACATAGCATAAAATATTTTCTAACTAAAATATCTTTATAATAAAAATATATCCTAATTAAAGATATATTTATTAAGATATGTGTATGTATATATTTATAAAAATATATAAAAATTTCTAAGTATATATATAATATATATGTATATAACCAAGCCAATACTTCATTCCTTGCTGTATAAATTTCATTAAAGAGAAAAGTATTCTGCACTCCAGTCACCTTGTTTCAGGGGCTGAAATGTTACAATCAAGGTATGTTCTTGAGGGGCTGGGAATATTTGTAGGAAAGAGAATAATTAATTTTGTAGAACAAATAATCCTTCAAAATAAGAGTGATGTGAAGCACTTCTACATAGGTATAAACACTATGATCCTACTTTACATGAGTTAGAGGTGAAGAAAACACCAGCAGCACCCTTCTGTTGATGTATAGCAGAATTCCAGTGAATTATATGATGAAAATCATAGTACTCAGAAGTAGAATCTTCCCTTCTGTCTTTGGTCCAGAAGGCGGCATTTCACTTGACATAGGCTGGCTTGCTGATGAAAGACCTGAGATCATGAAAAGGAAAATGATACAACAATAATTAATACCCCACATAGGACAGTGGATGTGACCAGTGCAAATAACATGTCTATTTGATGGAAGGGCTTCCTGCTATCTTTTCTGTGTCTATTTTGTTTGACACACATCTTAATGTGCTCACATCAGTTATCGATCTTCCCATGTGTACCCATTTATGTTATTCATTTTACTCTTGGAACTAAACATTACACATATTCAGAGCTTTTCTGAACATTAGCTGTTGTCCCCTAGAAGTTCATTCTCACATCCTATTTTCTAGTTTTGTTTGCAAGACCAGGCCACTATACTCTGAAGTGTAGTATTGATACTATCATGGAATTATAGCAACAATACCTAATTTTCTGTTCCAATTTTCTGTCACCTCCCCAAATTTAAGCATTAATCTTTGGTAGGTAGCTCTTTAGAAATATTTCCTAGCAGTTATTTATAGTAGGCAGATAAATATCAAATTATACTTTGGAAAAGTAATATTATCAGGCACATGTACTTTCCTATAACTATACATTTTTAGTACCTTCCTGAGAATTTTCAGGTACAATTCCAACTATGTTCCACAATGTAGAAATGCTCTACCAAATTCACCTAAGACAATATACAATTGAAACCAACTTTTATTAATAATTTCTCAAAGTCATCTTCATATGTCTGTGAATTTGGCTGCTTATCCATAATATGCTATCCACCAATTAATAGCACTGGATTAATTGAGCAAACATTACCAAATTTTAAGGTCAAAATGTATACTGAATCAATATTGGGAAACCTTTATATTTAAAACGGGATTTCAAAAAAAGAGTAGCTCTCTCTCTCTCTCTCTCTCTCTCTCTCTCTTTCTCTCTCTCTCTCTCTCTATATATATATATATATATGCACTGTGTCCTGAGATATTTTAATTTTCTTCATGTCAACATAGTTTCTAAATATGGACCTAGAGGAGACTTGGCATAGCCTTTGATTTGAAGAAAACTGGAAAGCATTTAAATATCTTCTGCAATAATTATGCTTGTAACAACTCTGGGAATAGAAGTACAGAGGCAAAGACATTTACTGTCAATCATGTGGGAAATAAAGTGGAAAACAAAAAAGTAGGACACAAGACACAGTAATGAAGAAAAAAATCAATTAGGGTTAGGGTGACATCGGAGGGTGCAATTCTTTTTTGGCTAGAGAACTTGACCAATTCTCACGTGTCTATTGGCCATTCTTATTTCTCCTTCAGAGAAGCTCCTCTGTAAGTCGTTAGCCCGGTTGTTAATCAATGGTTGTTTCCTTGAGGATTTGTTGTTGGGGGGGTTAATTTTTTGAGTTCTAAGTATATTTTAGATATGACACTCTTGTGCGTTTTATGGGTAGTGAAAATCTTCTCTCAATTGGTTGGCTTTCTATAGATCTTGCTTGCTATGTCCTTTGCCATGAAAAAGATATGCAGTTTCATGCAATACCACTTGTCAAAACTTTCATTGATGTGTTGTGTTTGAGGCATTCAAAGCTTGATAAGAAATGTACTCATCATCTTGCTTATGTAACTGTAACTCCTCTGTATAGTATTTTGCACAATAAAAAACTTACTAGAAAAAAGAAAAATTACCATTAAAATAGAGTTTCTCCTGTTCCTTCCTATAATATTTTCAGGGTGTCTTCTTTGACTTCGATGTCTTTGATCTATTTGGAGATGATTCTGGTGCAGGGTGATATCTAAAGTTGTAGCAGTAGTTTTCTAGAGGTTTAACCAATTTTGCCAGTACCATTTATTGAAGAGGTTGTTTTTCTTCCATTCTATTTTTTTTGGCTCCTTTATCAAATATTAGGTGGCTATAGGACTGTGGGCTTATTCCTTTTTCTTCAGTTCTATTCAATTGGTCTTCAGATATGTTCTTGTGCCAGTACCAAGGTGTTTTGATTACTATGTCTTCGAAATGGAGTTGGAAATTTGGTATTTGTATTGTTCCAGCGCTGTTCCTTTGGCTATTTTTATTCTTTTATTGTTCCATACCAATTTCTAGATTACTACTTCTATTTTCTTGAAGAATGAGGTTGGGATATTGATAGGTATCACACTGAATTTGGAGATAGGCTTTGGCAGTATTGCCATATTTACGATGTTAAACCTCTGAATCCAGGGACATGGGAGGTTTTTTTTTTTTTTTTTTTAACACTTCCTTAGTCAGGATTTAATTTCCATTTTCAGGTTTTTAAAGTTTTCATCATCGAGGTCCCTCACTTCTTTAGTTAACTCCTGGGCATTTTATTTTTTGTTGCACATTTTCATGCAGATATCAACTACTCCTTCTTTCTAAGCTGTTCTGCCTAAATATACGCATTCTTTCTATGGTCTACACAGGTGCAATAAATCAATCTTTAAGTATTATTTTCTTCACTTCTTTAGTATCTTTATTTCACAGTGATAGCTAGGAAAAATTTGAAAATGGTTTCTAGGGAAAGAAACAGGCTTTAGTATTTGGGCTTTCAGAAAATGCTGGTGCTCATGAATGGTGCCTACTGAACAATGAGGCAAACACATCACAAATACAAATATTTCTAGTGCAATTTTTCTATTCCAAATTGATTTGGGTTGTGCTTGTATGCTGTTTCTACATAAAACTTTCATGCACATTCTCGGTCACCATTCTGACACGAAGGTGACAACATTCTACTAAGAATAGACATTGTATGACATTGTATTCTACTAAGAATAGACATTGTATTTATGGATGTCAAGTTTTATGTTTATGTTTATTAGAGGGTAATTTCAATACAAGGCATTTATAGAACTTAAACCCATTTCTGACACATATGTTGCTTTGCCTGACTTGTAGATATGCTTTTTCTTTGTATATATCTTTTAATTCATATCTTAAATTCATATTGATTAAAAGTAACAGTAAAATGGGCTATTTTTCAAAACAAGTACTAGTACATCTTAAATAAAATAAGCAGGAAAGAGAAAGTTTCCCAGAAAGTTTTTTTTTTTTATACTGACATCAAATATAGTGTAAGCAGGGGTTATACTGTGGGGGAGGGACATACAAAGCAACAAAGAGATAATCTTATAAATGCGTTAGAAACACATGCATGAAAGAAAAAAACATTAAAATATATATCTAAGGGTTAGTTTTCCTGACATCACATTATCTGACCTATTCTGCTTGACATACATATACTAGATATTGCAAATAAGGGAAACCATGGGACCTATGTTTCTTTGGGCCTGGCTTACTTCACTTAATAAAATTTTTTCCAAGTTTTTACATTTCCTAACAAATGGGGCAATGTCATTCTTTCTGATGGAGGCATAGAATTCCATTGTGTATATATACCACATTTTCTTGATCCATTCATCTACTGAGGGGCATTTGGGTTGGTTCCATATCTTAGCTATGGTAAATAATGCTGCAATAAACATAGTTGTGCTGGTAGCTTTACTGTGGTCTTGTTTGTAAACATTTGGGTAAATGCCCAAAAGAGGGATTGCTGGGTCATAGGGGAGTTCTATGTGAAGTCTTTTGAGGAACCTCCATACTGCTTTCCAAAGTGGTTGAACAACTTTACATTCCCACCAACAATGAAGTAAGGTTCCTTTCTGTCCACATCCCCTCCAGCATCTGTTGTTGTTAGAGTTCTTGATTTTTGCCGTTCTAACTGGAGTGAGGTGATATCTCAATGTTGTTTTGATTTGCATTTCTTTTATGGCTAGGGAGGTTGAACATTTCTTCATGTGTCTATTGGCCATCCTTCTTTCTTCTTTAGAGAAGTTTCTCGTTAAGTCTTTCGCCCACTTATTTATTGGGCAGTTGTTTCTTTGAGGATTTGTTGTTGGGGGGTTTAATTTTTTGAGTTCCAAGTATATTTTATTTTATTTTTTTTAATTTTATTTTATTTTATTTGAGAACATACTGTACAGAGGGGTTACAATTACATGGGCAGGATAATGCATACATTTCTTACCAAGCATTGCAGCCTCCTCCTTTGTTTACCCTTCACCTCCCTTCCAGGCCTCCCCCCTCCCCCCACCCAATCATACCCCCTCTCACCCCCCCACCGACATTGTAAAGCTGGTTTTGACATGACATTTTGTACTTCTCATTGTTGCAACAGGTCCACCTGAATCCTTAAACGACTTGTTTGTCCCCGTCTCCTCCACATGTTATACTGACATCAAATATAGTGAAAGCGGGGGTTACAATGTGGGGGAGGGACATACAAAGCAACAAAGAAATAATCTTATAAATGCGTTAGAAACACATGCATGAAAGAAACAAAAACATTAAAATACATATTTGAGGGTTCGTTTTCCTAGCATCACAATCGATGACTTTTTCCGCTTGACTCATACCTATACTAGATATTGCAAATAAGGGAAACCAGGGGACCTATGTTTCTTTGGGCTTGGCTTACTTCACTTAATATAATTTTTTCCAAGCCTTTCCATTTCCTAACAAATGGGGAAATGTCATTCTTTCTGATGGAGGCATAGAATTCCATTGTGTATATATACCACTTCTTCTTGATCCATTCATCTACTGAGGGGCATCTGGGTTGGTTCCATATATTAGCTATGGTAAATAATGCTGCAATAAACATAGTTGTGCTGGTAGCTTTAGTGTGTCCTTGTTTGTGATCATTAGGGTAAATGCCCAAAAATGGGATTGCTGGGTCATTCGGGAGCTCTATGTGGAGTCTTTTGAGGAACCTCCATACTGCTTTCCAAAGTGGTTGAACAAGTTTACATTCCCACCAACAATGAAGTAAGGTTCCTTTCTGTCCACATCCCCTCCAGCATCTGTTGTTGTTAGAGTTCTTGATTTTTGCTGTTCTAACTGGAGTGAGGTGATATCTCAATGTTGTTTTGATTTGCATTTCTTTTATGGCTAGGGATGTTGAACATTTCTTCATGTGTCTATTGGCCATCCTTCTTTCTTCTTCAGAGAAGCTTCTCTTTAAGTCTTTCGCCCACTTACTTATTGGGCAGTTGTTTCTTTGAGGATTTATTGTTGGGTGGTTTAATTTTTTGAGTTCCAAGTATATTTTAGATATGAGACCCTTGTCCGTTGTATGGCTAGTAAAGATCTTCTCCCAGTCTGTGGGCTTTCTATTGATCTTGCTAGCTATGTCATTTGCCCTGCAGAAGCTCTGCAACCTTATACAATCCCATTTGTCCAGCCTTTCTTTGATTTGTTGTGTTTCCGGGTCTCTATTCAGAAAATTTCGGCCTGAGCCAAGGAGACCCAGGGTTTCTCCTATTCCATCCTGTAATGTTTTCAGAGTGTCTGCTTTGAGTTCAAGGTCTTTGATCCATTTGGAGTTGATTCTGGTGCAGGGTGATATATAAGGATCTAGCTTTAGTTTTCTACGTATAGTTAACCAGTTTTGCCAGCACCATTTACTGAAGAGGCTGTCTGTCTTCCATTCTATTGTTTTAGCTCCCTTATCGAAGATTAGATGGCTATAGGTCTGTGGGTTCATTTCTGGGTTTTCAATTCATTCCATTGGTCCTGAGGTCTGTTCTTATGCCAATACCAAGCTGTTTTGATTACTATGGCTTTATAGTAGAGTTTGAAATTTGGTATTGATATTCCTCCAGCAGTGTTCTTTCCGTTGAGGAGCGTTTTTGCTATTCGGGGTCTTTTATTGTTCCATATGAATTTTTGGATTGCCTCTTCTATTTCCTTGAAGAATGAGGGTGGAATTTTGATAGGTATTGCGTTGAATTTCTAGATAGCCTTGGGAAGTATTGCCATTTTCACGATGTTAATCTTTCCAATCCAGGAGCATGGGAGGTTTTGCCATTTTTTAAGTTCTGTGTTGATTTCCTTTTTCAACATTTTAAAGTTTTCATCATACAGGTCCCTCACATCTTTAGTTAAGTTAATTCTTAGGTATTTTATTTTTTGTGGGGCTATTACAAATGGAGTTGCTTTCCTAATTTCAGCCACACTTTTCTCATTGTTGGCATACAGAAAAGCCATTGATTTTTGGGGGTTAATTTTATAACCTGCTACTTTGCCAAAGTTTTGAATCAGCTTGAGTAATTTGCGAGTGGAGTCTATGGGATTCTTTAAATACAAGATCATGTCATCTGCAAAGAGGGAGAGTTTTATTTGTTCTTTCCCTATTTGGATCCCCTTTATGTCTGCATCTTGTCTTATTGCTGTAGCTAGGCATTCTAATACTAGATTGAAGAGAAGTGGAGAGAGTGGGCATCCTTGTCTTGTTCCTGAGTTAAGAGGAAATGGCTTTAGTTTTTCACCATTGAGTATAATGCTGGCTGTAGGTTTGTCATATACAGCCTTTATTGTATTGAGGAATGTTCCATGGATCCCTAATTTTTCCAAAACCTTCATCAGGAAGGGGTGTTGGATCTTGTCGAATGCTTTTTTTGCATCTATTGAGATAACCATGTGGTTCTTATTCTTGCTCCTGTTGATGTGATGAATAATATTAATTGATTTGCGTATATTGAACCAGCTTTGCATCCCTGAAATGAATCCTGTTTGATCGTGGTGTATGATTTTTTGGATGAATTGTTGAAGTCGGTTGGCCAAAATTTTGTTGAGAAGTTTTGCATCAATGTTCATCAAAGAAATGGGTCTATAGTTCTCTTTCTTTGATGAGTCCCTGCCTGCTTTTGGGATGAGGGTTATGATGGCTTCATAGAATGTGTTCGGTAGTGAGCTTTCTCTTTGAATTTCATTGAAGAGTTGGAGGAGAATTGGTGTGAGCTCTGCTTTGAAGGCCTTGTAAAATTCCGCTGTAAAACCATCTGGTCCTGGACTTTTCTTAGCTGGGAGGTCTCTTATTGCTGTTTCTATTTCAATGCTTGATATGGGCCTGTTAAGATAGTTTAACTCATCTTGGTTTAGTTTTGGCATGTCAATATTTGCTAGGAAGAGGTCCATTTCTGTCAAGTTCTCAAACTTATTAGCATAAAGTTTTGAGAAGTATTCCCTTATAATGTTCTGAATCTTGGTTATTTCCGTGGTGATGTTTCCATTCTCATCTCTGAGTTTATTCATTTGGGTGTGTTCTCTTCTTTTTCTGATAAGATTTGCTAAGGGTCTGTCAATTTTGTTAAGTTTTTCGAAGAACCAACTCTGTTTTGTTGATTCTTTCTATAGTTTTTTTGGATTCTAATTCATTTAATTCTGATTTTATTTTGATTATTTCTTTCCGTCTACTGGATTAGGGTTTATCTTGCAGCTCTTTTTCAAGGAGGTTTAGATGTATCATTAAATTGTTAGTTTCAGATCTCTCCAATTTGTTGATGTAGGAGCTCAGAGCTATAAACTTGCCTCTGAGTACTGCCTTTGCTGTGTCCCATAGGAGCTGGTATTTTGTGTGTTCATTTTTGTTGAATAGCATGAACATTTGAATTTCCTTTCTAATCTCTTCCATGACCCACTCATGATTCAGCAGTGTGTTGTTCAGCCTCCATGTGATACCGGACTTCTTTGGTGGCTTTTGGTGTTGAGTTCTAATTTTATTCCCTTGTGGTCAGAGAGAATGCAAGGTATAACTTCAATGTTTCTGAATTTGGACAAGTTTGCTTTGTGGCATAGAATGTGGTCTATTTTCGAAAACGTTCCATGTGCTGCTGAGAAAAACGTGTATTCTGATGCTGCTGGGTGAAATGTTCGGTAGATGTCTGTTAAATCTAGTTGATCTATGCAGCTGTTTAGATCTGCGGTTTCTCTGTTGAGTTTTTGCCGGGTTGATCTATCTAGTGGGGAGAGTGGTGTGTTAAAATCCCCAACAATTAATGTCTTTGGATCTATATGGGATTTGAGGGAAAGTAGTGTGTCTTTGATAAATTTGGGTGCTCCATTGTTTGGCGAATAGATATTTAGAATTGTAATATCCTCCTGAAGGAGAGATCCTTTAATTAGTAAGTAGCGACCTTCTTTATCTCTTCTCACGAATTTTACTTTGAAGTCTATTTTATCTGATATTAGGATTGCAACTCCCGCCCGTTTATGAGGGCCATTTTCCTGGTAGATTTTGTTCCAGGCTTTAACATTGAAAATGTGTTTGTTTTTATGGGCTAGATGTGACTCCTGCAGGCAGCAGATAGAAGGGTCTTGTTTTTTAATCCAACTAGACAGTCTATGTCGCTTAATTGGAGAGTTCAGTCCGTTAACATTAAGAGATAGGACTGAGAGGTATTTGGGAGTTCCTGCCATGTTATCTACCTTCTTGGGGGCTGTGAAAACTGGGTTCTTCCTATGGTTCTTGGATTCTCAGTTTGGGTGCAGTTTCTTGGCCTTTATTGTGGTCTTGTTGGTTTTCTATGTGTAGGACATCTTTAAGAATCTTTTGTAGGACTGGTTTGGTGGAGATGTATTGTTTCTTTTCTTTTCTATGGAAGGTTTTTATTTGGCCTTCAGTTATGAAGGAGAGTTTAGATGGGTACAGTATTCTTGGTCGATAGTTGTTTGTTTTTAGGGCATGGCATACATCATTCCAGGCTCGTCTTGTTTGATTGTCTCTGCTGAGAAATCTGAGGTGATTCTAATTGGTTTCCCATTATAGGTGATTACCCTTTTCTCCTTGACAGCTTTAAGGATCTTTTCCTTGTTCTGAGTTGATCCTGTGTGGATTATAATGTGGCGGTGGGATGTCCTATTCTGGTCTGGTCTATTTGGGGTTCTAAAGGCTTTTTGTATCTGGACAGGCCTATCTTTTTGCATGTTTGGGAAGTTCTCTGCTAGGATCCTGTTAAACAAATTTCCTAGACCATTAACTTCTGTTTCTAGGTGCTCTTCTACACCCATTATCCTTAGATTAGGCCTTCTGATGGTGTCTTCCAGGTTTTGGATAGATCTATCATATTTCTTGGACTTGTCTTGGATGGTTGTGTGTTCTTTCTCTATAATATCTAGGCTGTCTTCATTTCCTGAGATTCGATCTTCTGCATGGTCTAACCTGCTGTCAAGACATTCTACTTTGTTTTTTATCTCTTTTCCTTTGATTTGGTCAGCTTTGAGGGCTTCGAATTCTTTGTTGAAGCGTTGTTTTAGGCCTTGTATGAATTTCTTTACTTCTTTAATTTGGTGTTCAATGTTTATTCTCAAATCACTTATTTGATTGGTTATGGTTTTTTTGGACTCCCATTCCTTCTGTTGGGTTCCATTCAGCATTCCCTTTGTTGTCTCCCTGACCTCCTTCAGCTCTTTGTTAATGGATTCCATGAATGCCTTTAGTGATCTTTGTGTATTCTCTATCTGCTCTCTCAATTCCTGTATTACTCTTTGATCAGCTTCTTCCCGTTCGTGGGATTCCTGCAGTTCTCTTTGAGTGTTCTCAGCCTGCTCATGCCATTCCTCCCTTTCTCTTTGAGTATTCTCAAGTTGTTCACGCAAATCCTGTATCAGTTTTTGAGTCGCTTCCTCACGCTTATGATATTCCTGTATAAACTTTTGGGATGCCTCCTCTCTCTCCCTATCACGCTCATACAGAGTCCTTTGTAAGTTGTCAAACTTTTCATTTATCATGTTTGCCAGCAGTGTTTGTAGAACTATTTCGGAACTCTCCTCTGGATTATTCATTATCTGTTCTGTCCCCTGATTATCAAGATTGGGAATTGAGATACCCGAATTTGCCATTTTTCTTGTGTTTTTCCGGCTTACTCTGCCCATTTGAGATGAAGATAGCACCAGTTTTGTGCTAGAACACTATCTTAAGGCAACCATCAACCAAAGTTTGCATTTGTACAGTCAATAGTCTACAGATACAATCTAGTTCAACAGATACATCTATTCGACATCAAACAACTATATGTTAATGGGCTTCGAACAGCAGAGAATTTGGAATACCAGAAATTATTAGGGTTAGGGAGAGATGTGGGTAAAAAATAGGAATAGATTGGTGTGGGGAGGCACAGGGAGAGTTAACTATGTCCTAATCTCAATGCAGGAAATAGGTTGGGTAGGATGCAAGTAGAGAGAGAGAGAAAATGAAGAAAGGGAAAGGGAAATGAAAAGAGACCAGAAAAAAATAGAGATGTAAAAATTAATATTACTATGGAGATCAAAATACAATCTATTTAGAGAGGAATGTGAACATATTGAAAGAAGGGGAGGGACATAGAGGAGATGTGAAAAACTTTAAAAAATGCTTAAAATATTATGTAGGTACAAAGAGGTAGTACTGTTATTAAGGAATTTAAGTCTCAGAGATTTTGAATTGAGTAATAAATTTGTGGATTAAGTGTGTACACAATGGGGGATAGGGTGTACTAGTTAACTACGGGTTTGTCTGAGGATGTGCAGGACAAGAGTTAAGTCACATAAAGAAGAACAAAACATATTTACCATAGCTAAGACATGGAACCAACCCAGATGCCCCTCAGTAGATGAATGGATCAAGAAGATGTGGTATATATACACAATGGAATTCTATGCCTCCATCAGAAAGAATGACATTTCCCCATTTGTTAGGAAATGGAAAGGCTTGGAAAAAATTA